CGATCAATTCAGACATGTAAGATACTTTCGGTAATTTAGCCTCTGGGTGTTTGCTCAGGAATTAGAAATTTTAAGTCTTTTACCATCTCAAAGATCATGATCCATTAACATGATTATTTTCACTTTCCAGGAAAATCCTTATCTTTTATATCATACCGGTATTTTCGTTGTTTATTATCCGAGCATTTCCAACATTTAACCTTTAACGAGATTAATCAAAATTTACTAGTAACGTGATTGAAGTTATCCGCTTAATTCAAGGTCATTGGAGTACTTAAATCAATTGGTATTCAAGTTTATCCCGGTCACTTCGGAGTTTTCAGAGTAGCTGTATTGTTTTAATAATTCGAATACGTACAATACTTCCATTCAGTTCAACTTTGTCATTTCGATCAATTCAGACATGTAAGATACTTTCGGTAATTTAGCCTTCGGGTGTTTGCTCAGGAATTAGAAATTTTAAGTCTTTTACCATCTCAAAGACCATGATCGATTAACATGATTATTTTCACTTTCCAGGAAAATCCTTATCTTTTATATCATATCGGTATTTTCGTTGTTTATTATCCGAGCATTTCCAGCATTTAACCTTTAACGAGATTAATCAGAATTTACTAGTAACGTGATTGATTGATTTACAAATTAAATCATTGAACTTAGATTTTTTTTCCAATCGGTCTACTAATTTCTTTTACGAGTCATCTGAGTCTTATACAATGTTCCATCTTTATTCCAAATTCAATTTGAGTCCAATGATAATTAAATACACTTCATGGACCAATTATTCTCATTTATGTATTTATAAATTATCAATGTGTTCCGGAAAGCATACAAACTGTAGTAGAGTACTTCCTCGATTTTTGTGTTCCACCAATCAAACATTTAATCTCCAGTCGCTCACTCTCGAACTTGAATTCAACACCCATTAATTCCTCGGATACATAGCAACCAAATTTTCGTCAGAAACTAAACTTAATTGAGAAACCAAATTGAATCCGAAGGTAAAACACTGAAAAATGACTTACCGTGTGCGAATTTGGCCAAACGGACTTCGGATTCGGACTCAGGACATCGAAAAGCATAAAATATGACTTTTTGGAAATTTTGACTTTTTTGTCAAAGTCAATGGTCAGACCGATCAACGGTCAACAGGTCCGGTCAAAGTCAACGGGTCGGATCAGGTTGACTCGGTTTAGGTGGGGTTGGGCCAGTTCAGATCGGTCCAAACCAACTGGACCGGTTCTAGAAGATTTCCAGGGTAGGCAGAACAAGCCCACGCACACGCGGAGGTGCGTGGCAGCACGTGGCGATGGCGACGGGCTCGGGGTAGTCGGTCGATCACTCCACTAGCATCGAAATATCATTTAAGACCAAAATCAGACCAATAACATCAACCAAACGGAGCCAAATTAGTCAGAAACATTCGGGATGTACCCACGCTGGAGATGGAGGGAAATCGGTGACGTTGACGTGACCTTCCGGTCAGGTTTTGATTACACGGAGATGGTGAGTCTTCCTAGGGTGGCGGTGAGACGAGACGACGACGGAGGCAACCGAAAAAAGTGATTAACCGAGGTGGTGGGGGATAGTTTCAACGAAGCTTCCAACGTTCAATCCCAGCGAACGGTGGTCTATCTCGGTGAGGGGTAAGAGGGTTTTTGGTTGGAGCGAGATGGCAGTTCGATTGGTCGGGGCAGTGACAACCACCGATGGTTGGGTGACACCGAATTAGAGAAGGGGGATAGACGGATTTTCTAAAAGTTTCACGCCTAACGATGGTCGGATCAAGCGATTGAAGGGTTGGGGTTGGATCGATGGTCGCTACTGAGGTAGTTGGTAACAGGGGTGCACACCACCGCCGATCGGAGAAGGCTTGTCGGAGGGCAACAAGGGTGGTTCTAGTTGGAGAGAAAAGAAAATGGTTTGAGATTCTTGTTTTTAAACACAGGGGAATGGGGTAAGTGGTATGAACCAATGTAATCCCTCCCCACAAGAAGTGTAGAAAGGTTTATTATTTTATTAACCACGTAGTACCCAAACCTAGTGGCTAGGGCATGGTTTTCCATCTTTTGCGGTCTGGTTTCCAAACCCACCAGCTACATTTATTTCTTTCATTCGTTCATTTTTTTAAGCTGACAAAAGATGGACAATTTAAGGATTGGGTCCCTTCACTATCATCAAGCTTTCACAACAACCATCATACTTCAAAAATCAATCATTTTAGTCCCCAACTTTTCCTTTGTTACTACTTTAATTTAATACTTTATATCAATAAAATCTAACCCCTAAATTGGGGAGTGACCAAGAGTGCATGGTCATAGATGATGCAAAGGTTGTCGAAAATATCGAACCAAGCATCACTAACACTCTGTGGCCTAAAAGAAACGTAAACTTCAGGTTTAGAGTAACAAAACCCTTTTTTTTACATCAAAATTATGAGATCCTTTAAAAAAATAAAATAGTTTGGTTTATTGATTTACTATTTTGGGATTAGCAGTAAATCTATGATATCTTTCACTGAGATAGCATGAGAGTTGGAGAAGATAGTCAGAAGGATGATTTTGGAGACTTTTGGTGTGGAGAAATATACGGATGAGTTCATCAACTCCACAAATTATCTTCTCAAGGTCATGAAATATGAAGGGTCTCAAACTAACGAGCCAAGCCTTAGGGCTCTCTCGGACCAGACCACTATTTTGTATCAAAATGAGGCTGATGGATTGGAAATTTTGAGCAAAGATGGCGAATGGATCACTGTAAAACCCTCACCGAGCTCTTTCATTTTCATCGTTGGAGAGTCCCTCAGCGTAAGTTTAATATATTACATATTTGTTTTTGAATAGTTTTGTGTTAATATTTGTTCATAATTTTTTAATCTATTTACAACACAAACATACTTTGCAGATATAATTAATCGAATCTAAGTTTTTTTAGAAAGAATAATATCCCATTTTACTATTGAGGTCAGTAAAGATCGTAAATTCCATATTAGAAATAATATATATTGTTGCATTATAGGTATGGTTAAATGGTGGATTGTCTTCGCCATATCATCGAGTTGTGATGAAGGGGAACAAGGTAAGATACAGCATTGGATTGTTTGTAATAGCGAGAGATGGGTATCAAGTAAAGGTTCCAGAAGAGCTCGTGGATGACAAAAACAGTTTACTCTTCAAACCTTTTGATTACGAAGAATTCTTGGGACTTTATTCTGCCAAGGTTGCTGGAGGCGCTCTTCTAGGATATGGTCTTAAGTCTTATTTGCAGTGTTTGAAACTTCACCATAATAATTCATGTATTAAATATTAAGTTGATCTTGAATTTCATTTTATAAACTTAAAAAATAAATTTGTTTAATTAGTTTTTCTGAATTCGATTTTTATATTTAATAAATATTATAAAATTAATATAATTGAATAATACTAACAAACTTTTCCGTTACATTTGAAAATTGATAGATGAACAATTATATGCAGTAAATTAGTTAAAATAAGTAATCTATATACATCAAGTTATGATAAAATTCAGTAGCTTAAGTTCATTTCTTTTAACAACTAGATTAATTTTGAAATAGGCATGATAATAATTATTGTAAAAAAATAGACATGATATTAATTGACTCGTCGAACGGATTCAGTAGTTAAAAGGTGTGTTTTCTAGGTTTAAGCAGTTGTATCTATAGAATGTGTATACGCTATCAATAATTAAGAAAGATTGTAAACAAATACTACCTTAAAATCATCCTAGATACAACTATTGATAACAAGATTAGTAACATGTTTAGCTCAGATTTGAGTTTAAAATTTTTCCCACATATCAGTCCAACTCGAATTAAAAATAAATAATTAAAAATTTTATTTTAATTATAAAATATATAGATATTGATATAAAATTATATTTTTAATGTTTTAATTATTTTTTAATCAAGAAAATATGTAATTTGGGATGCTTGGGTTTTTAATTTTTATAAAACACTGGACTTTGATCGTCCCACCTTATAAACAATCCTATTTCTAATTTTTTTTATATAAAACACAAAATTAATTATGATGTTGATCTATCAAAATCGAGGGTATGACACGGATCGATCCAAATTAATTATGGTGAATCCGTAGAATCGAAAATTCAAAAAAAAAAGTTAGCCTCTCAATTCTTCTAATGAGGTGAAAATTCCTCCAACTTTTTTTAAAAAATAGATTGAACCCCTAAATATAAAATATGCGTAACTATTTATATTTATTTAAAATATGCGTAACTATTTTATCAATGAAATTATAATTTATTTCTAATAATTCATAAATATAAAAAATCTAACTTTTTTATTATATATAATATATTTTTTATTAATACACGATGATTACAATGTAATATCTATTTAAAAAACTCTTAATATTTGATAATGAATGCTCAAATACTCTTATAGACGTAGTGCTCGAAATAGAGACCTCTACAGATATAATACTTAAGGGATCACTTTGTCCCTATAGCAAATTTAAATCATTAATTTTAATTATACATTTTTATGTTGACATTCCGGTTCAAAGCTTTGCCCTGATTAATTTGGATCAATCTGCGTCACACACCTGACTTAAGTGAGTGAATCTCCCAACAGAGATTTTCACTATACATTTTAGTTGCATCAATTTTACTCTCAAACTCATTTAGTTACATTAATTCACCTTTTAATCTATATTGATTGTTGCTTGTATCAGTGAGAGATGGTCTAAAATTTTCGATGAAAATATTTAAAATGCTTATTACCTTATAAATATTTTTAAATTCTAATATTTTTAGTATTAATAACTTCTCTAATTTCTACATGCAACTACCTGGAAAAGAAAAGAATCTAATCACCAGTGAACATGATGATGCTTTTTTGTTTAATAGCCAATCTACCAATAATGAATATTACATTACTCTGACAAAAACACAAACAAAAGACACATAGATTGAAATATTTCAGGGATTGAGGCTATTCCTTCAATTAATAAGACGGATTTTCATTTTTCTGATGCCTTGAAAATCCATTGCCATCCTTTGAAACTTCTTCTGCTCTTTTTACCGCCTCTTTCATCCATTGTTAACGGACATGAACTTGTAGGGATATACCCTTTAGATTCTTCTTCAAAACCAACGTGTAAATCAATAAAACCGGAATCGTAGTCTCCCCTGGTAAAATTACTCCGCCTGTTTGCACCATTGAAACCATTATCACCGGCACCCCAACTGCCATTAAAACAAGAGCTCCGAGCAGCCGAAATGGAGCTCCTAGCGCCGGAAAAATTCATCGAATCGATTCCATCTCCCGATTGGAAAAGCCCACCACCCTTGAAGCTACAAAGAGATCTCGACCTTGAGACTCCGGTGCAATTAACGACCCACAAATCATCACTTTTCTCATCCGCACCACCACAGTTATTACAATCTTTCTCTCTTTTCTTCTTGAACAATCTTATAATCCTCCAGAACCCATTCTTTTTCTTCATCCCAACGCGGCTACTATTGCTTCTTTTGATTAAAAAGACCTCTTCTGATTTCTCAGTTTGTTCTTTGTTTTCATTCTCTATCAATAACGAGACACGGCCACCAACGCCGTATGAACTTCGAGTATCGGAGGCGATTTCCAAGCAAGAACAAGTTGAGAGGTGCTGAACGCCACAATCCGAGCAAACCAAGTTGAGCAAACGAGCCTCGAGACAATACGCGCACACACCGAACGGGGATTGTTGTGGATGTTTCTTACATCGAACATCCGACGCTGTTCTGTAATAATCATGGAAACGGCCAACATTATCGTTGTACACTTCCACTGCTTTGCCTCTTTCATGGCTCATCTTCATCATCATGAAAAACCCTTGAACTCCAAGTGATTGGACAAAAACAGAAAACTCATAAAATATCAAAACGATTTGCGTAAAGAACTTATAAGGAAGTGAAACGCAACAGTAAACTGTTAAACAAATTAAATATTATCTGATCCTATTCTCATATGTAATGGGTAAGGGGAGGAAGGATAGTAGGCTGCCATCAATATCAAATTGAGAGTAGCTTCCGTGAAAGACCTCTGTTATGAATTGCCCTCAGTGAGATTCGATCCTACGATCACAAGATTAAAAACGTTGCGCAATTGAATTAGATGGTCAATTTTGTTAAACAAATTAAGATGGCAGATATCTTTTCTAGCTTTGATTTTATTTAACACAGTGGGACTGTTCATGCAGTAGTGGAGTTCCATTTGAGTCTTTGAAGTCCCACATGGAAACAAAAGTCTTTTGGATCATTATAAGGTCCAAGTCCATCAATCTGTCTTATGCTTTTGTCAACTTTTTTCTTTTCCTGGATTTTTTTTCTTCATCGTCTTTCTCTCAGTATAGACTTTTTTCCCATGCTAAATGCTAACTGACACACACTATCTTCTCAATGTTTCTTCATGTTCTTCTATTATTGGATTGATGGAAAGTTCACTCGGTCCACTTTCCGTTTGCAATTCGTCCAAGGTTCATGAAACCAACCTTAAATTATTTTTAATATCGTTATTATTTTTCATTTGTTTATGTATTTATATCTAAATTTTGCATATGATAAATATATTCTGAAATCATTAACGATATTTTATTTTTATTTTTTTCACTTATAACGCTTTAAATTCGTTAAATCCATATTCTCAAACATGACATGGTAAATAAAATCTAAATCCATATTCTCAAACATGACATAGAATTCATTTAATTTTTTTTAAAAGTATAACTATGATATATTTATTTCTTGGAAGCATCATCAACATCGTGCTAAATACAGATTAAACGAATACTATCATGACTATAGTAAGTAAAATATAATAATGATCAATTAGTGTAGCTTGCTAAGCAAAAACATAAACAATTGAGGTAACGACATACATAATAAGATCCCTTCAATAACCCCAAGCATCAAATATGGAAGAGAAAACTTGAAGAAGATCCAAAACGAACAAATGAAAAAGTGATCTCCTCTTAACGACAATCTCGTCAGACATAGCTATTCGCTAACCAACGGACCGTCATGAACAAACGAACAAAGAAATCAAACATCTAAAAATCAACCAACCATGAAAACATGAAGAAGCACGGATCTAGAAGAAGACTAATAAAAGAAATATGCATAGTAAATATAAAAATACTGGTAGTCATGATACCTTTAATGAAAAGAAGCAAGAGAAAACGTCATTATTAAAATATGTTAAACTATAATTGAAACTAGTAAAAGTAGATAAGAATTAACGGAAAAGAGAAACAACGTGACAGGGAGATAACCGTGTAAGGCCAACACCACTGCCTGAGAGGGAGACACTTGTGTAACTAGCGACCAAGGAAAATAACTCCTTCAGAGAAAAAGTTACTGCAGAAAAAATCATTTAAATTAATTTTAAATAATAATATAGGTAGGTAAACTAAAAATTAAAGAGTAATATTTTTAATGCTAAAATTAATTTTTTTTATTATGATAAGATGGTTATAAAATAATATCTTATTTATATAATTTTAATTATTTGACGATGAAACTCAATCACCCTATTATTGTTATTGATACTCAAACTCATTACCTATAATAAAAATAATAATTTATTTAACTACTTACCTAAGTTAATTCATGTAAAATTTTATTTTATCCTCACAAACGGCTATCAAATGTTATCAGAGGTAAATACGTAACTTGCATAATTGATTTACCAAATTAACCCCGTGGCCCGATGTATAAGGCGCTGGTACTCTAAAACTGATGCTCTGGGATCGATCCCCACCGGATCCATTTGTTGATATTTATTAATTGTGATAACTTTTCAATAGGAAGCAAGTGTTTTTGAAAAATTGTTTTCAGCCCCTTAAAGTTTTAGAAACTCTCATAAGTCCTAATTTTTTGAGTATGTTTAATTAGATCACTTCCAAAAATTTTGAAAATTATCTCAAACACCTCAAATTTATGGAAACTCTCATAAGTCCCAAATTGTTTTATTAATATATGTTATTGTATACGAGTCGAATTGAACGATTAATTTAATTATAATTATTCTGTTTATTTCTTTAAATTTAACACTTTTATATTTTAATTTTTTATGCTCAAAATGACATTTTAAAAAGACAACAAATATAAACAATTACATTAATTTTTTGCCCTTTATCATATTTTAAAGATTAAGTTACACCATTAGTAAATAACTATTTTTTTTATAAAACCATTACTAATATTATTTTTTTATTTTGCTCACGTATCGTTAAAAAATTAATGATAACTCTGATATGGTTATTTTTTATTTTTCATATCATTTTCTCTCTCTTTGTCTACGTTCCCTTTTTTTTAAAATAATTTTATTTGAACTAATACATTGATAACATGGGTCACAATCTTATTCAGTTAAAATAAAAAAAAAACTACATTTTAACTTTGGGGAGGCTTAAAACCCAGGACCCCTTGAATAAGGGATTAATATTAAACCTAAGCTAGGCCAAAAAAAATAGTATAGTTTTATCAAAACAAGTATTTAAGTTAAATTGATCAAATATTCAATTGTGAAATAATTTTACAAAATAAATAAACACTTTTTGAATTTTACCAAAGTTGACTTGTTTCCTACGTTTTGTAAATCAATTTTAAATCCTGCTTACCGTTTGCTGGCATTTCTTTGAATTGGTTGATGTTCATGTGTATGTGGTGGTTCCAATTGGTTCTCCAATCAGAAAATGATTCTCCAGTGTCGCAACCGTCTTTCGGTTGGACCCCGGAATTGGGCTTCGACTTGAAAAATGTGGATTGGAGTCGCCACCGATCATTTATTTAAAAATAAATGGGTTGATCGGATACCCTATTTCTTACTTGATCTGCGTCTTACCATAAATATGTCGGGCTCGGGAGTCGGTTACGGTCAAGGAATGATTAGCACCCTTGAACCGCCCTTTCGGTACTACGTAATTTCCAGTTGTCTTAATTAAGAAAATTGTAATTTTAAATTAAAATAAATTGATCATTAATTACTTACATCTGATTAATTGACGAAAATACCCTTAAAAAGTCATAAGATGTGTTAGAGGGAAAAAATGAATAAATGAAAAAAATGAAGAATAAAAATAAGTAAAAATAAATAAAAATAAAAGGAAAAATAAATAAATAAATAAAAATAAAAATATATATATAATATATATATATATAAATGAGTAAAATAGAAAAATATAATCATAACAATAATGATAGTAATATGAAAATATATAAATATAAATAAATAAATAAATAAAACCAGAAATAAAAATAAATAAATATATAAATCAAATATAAAAGTATACATATAATGATAATTGTCTATAAATAAACTATTAAAACATACATATACGTATAATGATAAAGTAAAAAAAATAAATAAAGATAATTACAATATATATAATATATGGTAATAATACGCTTATAAATAAATATTTTAAAAAAGTATATATATATATATATAATAATATTAAAAAATAACCAAATAAATATAAATAAATAAAAAATATATGTAATAATATATATGTAAAAAAATCAATTGAAAATCATTAAAAAACATACGTATATATTTATATAATGACAATAATGTAAATAATAAAAATAAAAAAATATCCATATAATAAATAAAGGACTAATATAAAAAAATAAGATTGGGGCCAAATTTGAAAGACAATTAACGTTGATATTGCGCATTAGGGGAATAAAAAATGAACACTCCTCGGGGTAGATCTAGGTTCGAAACTTCGAAACCCCACCCATTTTTGGTCATCGGCGCAACCCACGTTTTGGGTTATTTGAACCAAAACTCAAGAAAAATAACGTGCACATGCGAAAAATGAACGAATCAAAAAAAATGCTACCTTTTATTTCTTTTTCGAATCGTTTACAATAGCTTTGCCTTTGTATTTTCCGTTTTTTCCTCTGTATTTTGTCTGTAAATCGTGTGTTACAATAGTGAGTTACAATGGCTATTTATAGTGATTGTGGATCTTATTGTGGATCCTATCTTTAGGGGTTTAAATTATAGTAGAACTCTATCCTATTTTTAGGAGTTTAAATCCTAGCAAAATTCTATCATATTTTTAGGAGTTTGAATCCTAGTAGGACGAAAATGTGTGTTGCCAGCTGCCCCTCTTTGCCCATAGTCGTGTAACGGGGATAGGGTAAAGATTAAAAGACACATTTTTCGTTCGGTGGAGTTGAAAATTGACTCTGATGTTTCAATAACTCCATGTCGAATTGAGTTACGGATGACTCATCCATCGTGAAGCCGAGTTCATCTTGAAATGATATGAAATTGAAGCCGTAGTTCAGAATTTGAATCAGCATGTGGCTTCTCGTTGCCCTTCGGTTTTCTTCTCGGTTTAAAGACCTTGGATCGGAATCGAACTCAGAAATCTTCATTGACATATAGCTTTTGCTTGAAAATGGTTGCTTGTCACTAAAGCACGGTTAACCCAGGTCCTCTTCTCGACTTGAAAACCTCGACTGCAACCGGAAAGTAGTGCGATTGATGTGTCATCGAGCTGAATGGAATCGAACTCGACAATTTTGATGGCAGATAACCCTTCTAGCCTTGAGTTATGCTGTAAATGATGTGCCTTGGAGATGAGCGTAGTCGAACTCGAAGGTCTTTATTGACAGATACTCCTTCTTTGAGTTGGATATCTTTCGTCGTGAAGTTGAAATCCAATCTAAAGATGGATGATGCTTGTGTGCACGATTCCCTTCGTCGTGAAGTTGAAACCGCAGGTGGCCCCTTCGTTGTGAAGTTGAGCATGAAATTGGATATCCTTCGTCGTGAAGTTGAAATTGGCTCTGGAACCGAGAA